TATTGTCTACAAAAGAGTGCTCTAAGTACAATAGTAGATATTCATTTAACTTCTAATGAATCTCATACTAGAGGAAAAATTCAAACTGAAAGAGACTAATTCTATTTCTTTATGATGATAATAGTAACAGGGTTATAATTAACTGACATTGGCTTATTTTTTAAAAAGGAAATAATTGAAAGGATATCTGGTGACTCTCAAAAGACTGGGGAAGAACTCAGGGAAACAGGGAGGTACAAAGGGAGGCTGGGTATATGGGGGTCATTACCTGAAGCATGCCACATAACTTACATAGTCACAAAATAGAGACCACTCTAAGAAGAGAAGACAAATTCCTGTCCCTTAAACTGCTACTAATGAAAAGTATGATTTGTGTGTTTTTTTTTTTTAAGATAGATAGGGATGTAAAAGTGGCTTTTCCTAAAACTGTGATTTTTCACTTAAGCTTTCAAATATCCAACAGGTAACTAAAAGTAGGACAACAGACCAAAGCTTGACTTTTACAGTGCACCCTAAAGTTATAACCAGCCTGACCTATAAACTACTTGTGTTAATTAGGTTAATGGAAGATTCATCTGTCTTATTATTTACAGTGTGCACCCAGGTAAACATACAGATCTCAGCCATATTGACTTACAACCAGTTTGAGTTGCAACCAGTCCTTGGGAACTAATCCAGTTTGTAAGTCAAGAGTTCACTGTATTTTGTGAAACTGTGGATCAGATTCTTCTCAGCTCTGCATAGAGACATGTTAGTCATTTGAGGAGTACAGTGGACCCTTGACTTACGAACTCAATTATTTTGTGAGGGCTGGCTGTAACTCAGATTGGGTTAGTGAAGGCTAAAGCTCCTCTACACAGCCTTCAAAGTCTCTCCTTTATATAGGCAGATCTCAGTGTCTTTAGAGAGACATTGGCCCTGGAGTTCTCAACCCCACACAGGAAAGGATACTGTAACGTACCTTCCAGAACTCTTTAAAGGCTAAATCTGTATCAGAGACCATCTGAAAGCACAAGCAGCTGGCATTCAGGCCATAACTGAATACTCTCGTTGTAAGTTAAAACTAAAATTCCAGTCATAACCAAGTTGTTCATGTCAGGCCAGTTGTAACTTGAGGGTCCGTTGTATATGTCTACAGATTGGCAAAACAAGGTTTATTAGCCTTACATTTACCTAACCTGTCTCGTCACCCATCCAGATTGAGAACACCTGTCCAGAAGACTCCATTACCCTAAACCTGTGGTCACTTGGATTGCAACAGATCTTAACATTACTAAGACTACCCCAATCCTTGAAAATTCTTCTCATGGAAACCAAATTGTCCCTCAAGTCATAAGCATTCTTAAGTAGGAAATTAAGACTGAGCTAATGATTGACTAGACTCTAACCAGCCCCAGCACCCCATAGAACTGGTCTTTCTTTTTTAAAGGGTCGGACTGGTGCACTACAGCATAGTGTGTCCCCTCCACCTGCTACTCAAGCTGGAGTCCTTTCCCTATTTATTTACTATTTTACTTTTCAATTAAAGCTTTTGCCTTTAAATTCATACTATCACTTTAGTTTTAATTTTCATCATCATTAAGGCAAGGACACAGCAGCTAGTGCGGACACAGCTGCCACTTCCCTGAGCACACCGGATAATACAGCCTGCTCTAACACAAAGTGGTGCTTTTGGCAACCAGGCCACTAAGAATTGGCTGCTGCTACTGCCAAAATAAATCTTTCCCTAACCACATTTCTTTATCTTACCAGTTCCTGAGCCAAAGTCCCTGGAAGGGGTATTTGATTACCAGAGCCTAAGTCATGTGCCAATAGAGAGTGGGAGAGCAAGTAGCTGACATTTTTGGCTACTCTAATGGGAAGATGTGCTTCTGTCTAAGATTTTTATGGTTAAAAGAAAAATTCCACAAACTAAAAAGAAGTTACAATTCTAGGTAGTCAAAAGAAATGACAAGTGTCTGCAGTGGGGTAACAGTTCAATGTCAGAAATAACATCATTAATTTTAAAAAAGTGAATGCTTAGTTGCTTTCAAAATATCTTCTAATTGTCTTAATTGCAAAATGCAGAGACAAATAGACTATGAGATACATAACACTATCAGCTGATTAATGAAAAAATAAAATCACAAAGAATTACAAGGAAGAATTGATATTGATTGTCCAAGCTTTCGATTCAATGAAAAAAATCTTTTCCCAAGATCTGTTTAGCAGTATTAGGAGAACTATCTCTTCTCAACCTTTTGGTTAAGATAAAGTGCAGCATTAGGAGAGCTCACTGAAATTTCATTCTAACTTTGAATTGTTAAAATGCAATTTTCTCTTAGCATTAGATAGAATATTCTCATGCTATCCACCCATAAATCCTAGATGTGATGGCTGTAGTTATTCAAATAGAGCATAATAGTTAAAAGTTTTGTCTGTAGTTCATATTTGAGTTTTATTAACTGGGTGACCTAATTCTTGTTTTCTACATCTGGAAAATGAGGATTGTAACAGCATCAACTCAAAAGAGTTATTGTGGAGAATAATGAGATAATTAGTAGTTAGATCAGTAACCAGCACATAGTGAGCATTCAGTAATTAGTGACAATGATTACTGATTGATTGATGATGATGATGATAATGATGATTGCATTTCCAAAATTGAGTCAGCTGCCACAGAAATGCAGAATAACATTGGAAAAAGAACACTGAACTGATATTTTGGTTGTGATTTGATTCTCCTCCAGTAACTCAATAACCTATACAAAGTTAACATATTATTCTTTTTGCAAAACAAAATACTTATTCTATATTACACTATCTTCATAAGATTCCTTTCAGCTCTAAAATTATTAGACTCTATGCCATCTTTTTTCATACTGAACACTACCATTTCTCTCAGCTATATGTAACTTGTATAAGAAACTACAACTGAAAGTAAATTGTTTCTTCCACTAAACTCAACACCCTCAATACTTCTATGACCAAGTGTATCACCAGGCTAGTTCTCCAACACCAGCTTAGTCTCAGTTCAATCCTGACACTCTCTGCCTGGAGTCAGGGTCATAGTCCCATAAGACCACCCTCAATTTGAGATGCCAATCACAGTTAGAAGCCAATCACAATTAGTGAGTCTCCAAGTTACCCGCATTTCTGTTGGGCTATAAATCAGCACCTCCCAGTTTCATTAATTTGGTATGATGGCTCAAAGAAATCACAGAAACATGTTTACCTGTTTATTATAAGAAATATGAGAAATGATACAGATGAGCAGCAAGCTGAAGAGGTACATGGGTGAGGCTCAGGAGCATCATGCACACAAAAGCTACCATCTCCACAGAGGGGTGTACGCTCAGCAAGCGTACCAATGTGCTGACTAACCCGGAAACTTGAATCTCGTACTTTAGGGCTTTTCATGGAGGCTTGTCATGTAGGCCCAATCAGTTTTTAACTCTATAACTATCTCCTCTCCTTTTCCTGGAGAATGGTCTGGAGTTGAAAGTTCCAAACTTTTAATTATGGCTTGGTCTTTCCAAGCCCTATCCTGAAAATATCTAAGAGCTCATCAAGAGTCTCCTCATTAGAACAAAAGGTGCCTGTATAATCAAGTTAATTACAATGGATTTAACATTTTTGAGTCAGGAACCATGGTCAAAAACTAAATTTTAATCAAAAGATGTTCCTAGATGCTCCCCTATCACTGTGTTACAAAGGTTTCAGCACCTCTGTGATAATAACTGAGCATATCACAATATTACATAACTTGACTACCAGACTCATCATAGCTTTGGTCAGGTTCCTCAGCAATACTTGTCCGTGTTGCTCTTAGGATATGGTGCTCAGGTTATTCTTGTATCAGTAGGCCTGTTTATTCAAATAACTGAAATCCTTATTCATGTTATTTTTATATTCATTTACTTGTCTGTTTTTTGTTGTACTGGGAATTGACTCTAGAGCCTTCACACTGAGCTACATCCCCAGCTTTTGTCTGTTTTTATTTTAAGACAGAATCTTGTTAAGTCACTTAGTTGCCCAAGCTGGGCTTGAACTTGCAATCACACTACCTCAGCTTTGCAGAGTGCTCGAATTAGAGATATGTACCACTCCACCCAGCTATCCATATTTTAAAAATTAAAAATATCATAAGTTTATATATGCATACAAAATATAACAATATAAAATAACAAACCCTATCATTTATATCAATTCTTTTTGGAAGAAAGAACTCTAATCTTAAGCAAGAGTTTACTATCTATAATATTTTAGAGGTCTCATATTCCCAGAAATACACAGGTATTCTATATATAGTCTATAATTTTGATCCTATTCATTTATAAATTTTGTGAAGGTAACTATGCACATATGTCTTTTTTTTTTATACCATGGGCACGCACACGCGCAGTTTGCAAATTTACAGGTATTTGAATAATCTTAATTCTAACTATAAGCAAAGACTTTTTTTCAGATATTTATTGACTTTTCATCTTATAATTGGTGTGATTTAGGATGTTGAATGGCACTTAAAAATATAGTTCTGCATATTTTGCAAAACTATTTTATTCTAACTTTTATAGACATTAACAAACCTTTAAATAGTGTTGCCTGGTGTTTCTATTGCCAAATCTTTGGAAGGGTTGACTTACGTAGACATAGGAGGAAGCAGACAGAAACTGCTTTTGTAGAATACCCCCTAATTTTGTTTTGGAGAGAGACTAAGTGTAGATGAGGACACTGAAAAGGAGAGATATTTTGGACTGCAGGGCCATCATTATGCAGATAATATTCAGCTTTATTCAGCCATACATCTCCCTTTCCTTTAGCCCAGATGGTAAAATGACTCATCTGTTCCACTGGCCAGTGAAACAAGGGAGAGAGAAAAGGAACTGTTATAATGATAAAAATGGATGATGTTTCAGAAGCAAGGGGAAAATATTTCTAGGCAATGATGATGACACATTGATAGTGTTTGTTAATACTTTACATTCCTTTTCAGATTCACAGCTTGAGCTTCACATTGCTTCCAGGATTCTTGAGGAATAGTTCTGACCAAGAATTCTTTTTATCTTTTTGGTGCCTACGTAAGTTGTAAATATTTTTGAACTTCAAATGATTCACTTTAATATTTTCTCTTTATGAGGACTGAAGATCATCCTTTGAATGTGTGACTTTTTGTTACTTTCCTTGAAAATCACCTAGCAACGTCACATGGAACATATTCTAGTTAAGAATATGATTAGGCTGGAAGCATAATTGGATTCACTTAATAATTGGGGGAAACGACTACTGGACAATAGAACAATATGATGGAAAATTCTGGGTTCTGACAGACAAAAATGAATGTATGATGAGACTTTTGTACATGCCTCTTCCTGTGGCTGTCATCATGTGAAGTTAGGCTGTTTTAGGGAAGGATTATAGACATGTAGTCACAGAAAACCGAAAATCTTCCTTCCTTCCTCAAAGACCTGCAGAAATAATTGATTTCTAGGACAACAGACTATTCTATCACCTAGAAGTTTGTCTCTAAGAAAGTGGAGAAAACTAGGTAAGATTTGTTCCTGGTTTATCCAGGTTGGCCTCAATGTAATTATACATCACTTAAATGGGGACAGGAGGCAGACGAGTCAAAACCAGAGATATGATATCATGATAAAGACATGACTTAGTTATTTGATGAAAGAGGACTATGAGCCAAGGAACACAGGGAGCCTCTAAAAGTTAAAAAAGATAAGAAAATAGATTCTCCCTTAAGAGTCTTCAGAAAGAAATGCAGATTTGCTGACACATCATTTTCAGCCAGATGACATCTATTTTGGATTTCTGACCTCCAAAGCCATCATATAATAAATTTGATTTGTTTTAAGCCATTGAGCTTGTGACAATTTATCAAAGCGGCAGTAGGAAACTAGTACAATTCCACAAAATATGACTGTGTAAATCATATATGTCCTTTAAATCAAATACTATCTTCTCTATAAAGGTTTTTATTATTAATTATGAAATATTCAAACATTTATGGTAAGAGAGAATTTTATCATGAATATATTTATCATCACTTAGTTTTGTTGTTATGTGTGATCATTTTTTACATATGATTAAGTCATAAAAGAACAAAGTTCCTTGAATTGAATATCCATGACTTCATTTCCCTCCCAAATTCCTCAGATATATTTATTATCCTGAATTTGCCATCCTGTGCATTCCTTTTTATAATTCTCTTATTTATTCATAAACAGTGTATACTTTTCTTTTTCACATTTATACATTTTCAAACTTGTATAATATTCTATATAAATCATTAAAAACCTTCCACCGAAGATAATGCTTTGGAGTTTTATTCATTACTATGTCAATCTAATGTATTTCTGCTAATTTTTTCATGTATATCGACTAAGTAGTAGTAAGAAACCACATCAAAGCAGAATAGGTTAAAACTAAATAAAAGTTTTCTTTCTTATATAATAGTCAAAGGTGGGCAGTGCAGGGCTGTCCTGCCATCCTTAACATGTAATTTCCATCTAGGCAATGGAGAGATGGAGATGTTTCTGTTATAACTTCCCATTCCTCAGCATGAATAGGAAAAGATAGGAGGAAAATAGTCTCATTGTTTTTTGGTATGATTAAGATGTGATGTACATCACATCAGCTCCCAACTCATTGACCGAAATTAGTCACAAAATCACACCCAGCTGTACAGAAGCTGCAGACTGTGACCTCTAGCAACAGAGCAAACTGCTCAACTACAATTTGGAAGTTCTGTTACTAAAGAATAGAGGGAAAACTTTAACACTCCTCTCTCAGTAAAATACACCAAGCAGTCAGAAAACCATCAACGACAGGGAAAACTTGAATACTATCTATCAACTGAACCTGGCTGGCATTTAAAAAGATTTTACTCAAGAACTGTAGAATAAGTAGAATACATATTCTGTTCAAGTGCACATTTATGAAGATAGACCAGATCTTGGGTCATAGGATAATTTCAACCAGTGTAAAAGAATTGAACATGCAAAATATACTGTCCAACCATAATGGAATTGAAGTAGAAATCAATAAAAAATTAGGAAAATCTTCCAATACTTAATTTTAAACACACTTCTAAAAATTCTTAAAAGGATAATTCCTAGGAAGAGTAAATCTCATTGAATTAAGAAAAATAAAAATACAATTTATCAAACCCTATGGCATGCAGATAAAGCAGTGCTTAGAGGGAAATTTATAGAATCAAATATTTATAGAAGACATTTCAGGTAAAATATCCAAGTGTCTATCCCAGAAACAAAAGAACAAAATAACTCAAGGCAAGCAAAATGAAATAATAAGCTTAAACCCAAAAATCCTTGAGATTGAAAGCATAAAAACAAAACAAAAGCTATTTTGGAAATGCTTAATAAAATTGATAAACTTCTAGTAAGACTGATACAGAAAAACAGAGAGGAAACCAAATACTAGTATTAGTAATTCAAGAGGGAACATCACTAGAGACCCTGTAGAATTAAAAGGATAATAAAAGATCACTATTTAAAAAAAATCTTAAACTCCTAAATTAAAAAGCTTAGAAAAAATTCTTTGAAAAAAACTACAACAAGATGAAGTACAGATGTGCCACACAATATTTTGGTCAATGATGGAACATAAATAGGACAGTGGTCCTATAAGGTCATGGTGAAGCTAAAAAGTTTCACTTGCCCAGTGACCATTGCACTCATTGTAAGGTTGCAGCACAATGCAACAGTCTCAGGTATCTGTTGATGTTAGTGGAAACAAAATCGAACTTGCCAGTTATGTAGAAGTATAGTTATGTAGAAGTATAGCACCATATTTCTATAAATTTCATTTTATATTTTTAATGAAAATAAATGACTGCATTATTGGTTTATGTATTTAATATACTTTACTTTTTATCATTGTATAGAGTATAGCAAAAACAATTTGTCCATGAAACAGTGTGCTGTATTACACCAGCAGCAGTCTCATACATGGCTCCAGGAGCAATGGGCTACAGATAGAGATGTGTAGTGACTCTACCACCTATGTATGTGTTGGTGTACTCTATACTTTGTCACGGTTATGTGACAAAATCATGTAGGGCTGCATTTTTCAGAACATATCCCTATAATTAAGTGATGCATGACTGCATATAATCTGAATAGCCCCATAATTATGGAGAAAATTGAATTAGTAGTTAAAAACCATTCCAAAAAATCTTCCATGCCCAGATATTTTTGCTAGCAAAAATCTGCCAAAGAAGACTAATGACACGAATTCTACACAATTTCTTCCACAAAGTAAAAGAGAAGGGAACAAATCCCATTTTACTTTAAGAACCCATATTATAACAATGTCAAACCCTTTGGTATTACAAGAAAACTTCATGCCAATGTCATGTATGAATAATTAAAAATTCTCAGAAAAATAAGAGCAAACCACATCCAATAACATATAAAAAAAGATTATGTACCATAGTGAAATGGGATTTTATCCCAGATATGCAGAGTTGCTTTGACATCCAGAAGTCAATTAATGTAACAGACTATATCAATAGAATAAAGCAAAAAATTTTGTAGAACAAAATTTTGTAGGACAGGGGAATATGGAAAAAATAAAAACCAAGATTGATTATGTACATTTCCAACAATGAATGTCATTAGATTGTATATATTAAATGTACCAATAAAATTAATTTTAAAAACTCCATATCATCTCAATACACATATAAAACACAAACACTCCAAAAAGAATGAAGCAAATCAGAAATGGTAACTGTCTTTATAAATCTGAAAGCCTACATTTACTGCTTTTTCTTAAATCTTATACATCTGTTTAAAAAGAAAATTCAGGTTTTATTATATCTAATCCACATGACAACACCTAATGTGTGGGTAATGGGTTTGGACATATAAAGTAGCAAGATTTTTAGATTTTATATAAAATGGTATGTTAGTAACTGTGGGTAAACTATGCAAAGTTGAGTATATATTGCAATCCACAAAATATTAACAAAAACAATTCAAAGAAGTATAACTCCAAGCCAGCTGGAAAATTAAAATGAAATTCTAAGTAACATTAAAACACAAAAGCCAGTAGAGGAAAAATATAAGTATAAAAAACAGAGGAGATAAGTGGAACATAAAAAGAAAATGTTAGACATAAGCCCATGCATATTAATAACTTCATTGATTACTAATGGAATAAATCTAATATTAAAAGGCAGATTATCATAAGGTATAAAGTAACAGGATCCAATTTAAAACTGTCTATGTAGGAGACCAAATATTCATATTCTCAGAGTTGTTTTTGAGCCTAACATAACCACCTCCATGTTTACATCTGAGTCACCTCACTGGCACAGACGTGCCAATGACTGCACTAATGGCCTTGCTCATTTAATGACCTAATCTGTTACATAACAACTGTATCTTATCATAACTGTTACTGTACAATACGTTTCTCCTTTATCATCTTATGATTAGCTACTTCCTCTTACAAATTTGTGGTTTTTGCCTTTATATACTGCTTGTGCCTGCAAATAAATGAGACCTTGACAAGCCTCTGCTTGGTCTCCTTCTCTCTGCGCCTCTCTTGTCCCATTTCCAGGTATCTCCCCTTCTCAAGCTCTGCTGATTACTGACCCCGCGGGCCGGGGCAATTGATTACTAATGGAATAAATCTAATATTAAAAGGCAGATTATCATACTGTATAAAGTAACAGGATCCAATTTAAAACTGTCTATAAAAGATGCACTTTAATATAAAGATACAGACAAATTGACAGTAAATGGCTGGAAAAATATACCATGTAAAGACCAAACATAAGAAGGATGGTATAATTATCTTGATGTAAGAGTACACAAATTTTCAAAGAGAATACATAAAAGAAGAAAAGGTGGGAAATTGCATTTATGCATTGTCAGTTCATCATGGAAACATAAAAAGCACAAAATATTATGTACCTGATAACAGAAATTGAAATACATGAAGCAAAAGTTGCAAGAATTAAAAGAAGTAAATAATTCTACAATGGGAGTTGGATGGTTATAACATATCACGCTCACATTTATAGAACCGTCAGGCAAAAATATAGAAACTTGAAACCTATCAAGCACTTTAAGGGAGAAAAAAAAGAAAAAGGAAAGAAAAGAAAAAAGAAAGAAAAGAAAGGTGAAAATAAACACAGAGCAAGAAGAACAAAAGGAATAATAAGCAGAAATCAAGAAAATAACAAAAATTAGCAAAACAGTGAATTTAAAAACTGATTTCTTAAAATATCAATAAAATTAATAACTCTCTTCTCAGAATTATTAAGAAGAAAAGAAAGCCACAAATTGTCAATATCAAGAATAAGAGACAGAGATTGCTAGATCACAGATTCCATAGATGTTTAATATATACTAAGGGCATAACATGAAGATACTATTTCATTAAATTTGTCAACCTCAACGAAATATTTTAAAAACCTCTTAAAACACATGCTGTCATTATATTTAAATTACATAGTGCAAACCTGTCCCAAGAAAAAATAGGAAACTTGAACATCTCTGAATCAATGAAAGAAAATTTACCATAAAGGAAGTTCCATGTCTAAATTCTTGACTGGTGAATTTTATCAAACACTTAGGGAGGAACTCATACACAAATTTTTCCTCAAAGTAGAGGGAAACACCAAATCATTTTATGAAACTAGAATTACATGATGCTATAACTAGAGAACATAATTTCAGAGAAAAATATCCATGAATATAGAAATAAACATCTTCAGCAAAACATTATTAAGGCAAATCCAATGATACATAAGACATATTCTGATCAAATGGGTACTGTCCTGGCTCAGGCTCAGGACATGTGCTATGCAACTAAATAGGTAAGCTTCCCTGACTCAGCTCTTTCTTTGCTATGTGCACGATTAATATGCATCACATCAGCTACCACTGTGACATTTTTGAGCAAGCATTATTTTGATTTCTAGGTCAACCATGAAGAAAACCCATTAAGCTCCCCTTGGGCCCAGTACAGCAGAGGAGACCTGCAGCAGCTTGCAACTCTCTAGTGCGCCCACCTCTTCAGCAAAGAACAACAGAGGAACATCCAAGCAGTGCGAGGCCGTCTGGTAGGCCCACCCCATTGGCCCAGTACAGCAGAGGAGCCCAGCCACCCAGCGCCAACACAGTGGGGTCTCCGTGCCCCCTTCACCCTAACACGAACAAGAGAAAGCGGGCCTCTCTGAGGCTCCTAGATGATAATTGAAGCCCACTGGAAAAGTGCAGAAAATCTCTGCCATAAAGGCACACCTCACAACCACAGTTGGTAAGTCAGAGGAACCAGTACCTCACATCTGAACCTGGTCTAACTTCAGGGGAAAAACAGCTGGAACCTGCAGTAGAACCTTGCAGAGTTCCACCCAGGAGGTCAGAGTTCTCAACTTGGGCCTTGCAGACAGCAGTCAGGCTGAACTTCAGGGGACAGCTGCTGGCTTGCTGAGACTAATTAACTTAGATCTGCACACTCCTGCCACACTGCCTCTTGGATTTATTTTAGTTCACAGTCTGTGGAGGTTTCAGCTCATAGTCAGCTGCCTCTAAGGCAGGGTGACATGGCAGAGGAGAAATAATTCAGGGCATTGCAGGAGGGAAGTGGAGCCTTCCTTATTTTTTCCCTTTTTATTCTATCCAGGCTACAAGTTTTTTGGTGGATATCACCCACACCTAAGGTGGGTTTTCCCTCTTCAGTGGGTCCATATATGCTAAATCAGTCAGTGGACTAATCATCCATTGTCACACACCCATGATCCAGTCACCTCTGAGCATATGAGGCTTTGGGGGTATATTACATCTAGATAATAACAAGACCGTTTGAACCATGTTCACTTCTGCCCCAGGCTCTGAGAAGATACATTTTTATAGGCTTCAGATGGTTGGATCCTCTCTAGAGTAATAGGAGTTGGAATCCAGCTTGTGATGCTATCCATCCTTTGGTTCTTTCATTCTTAGTAAAGTGTGAGTTCTTACTTTATTTAGACATTCTCTGCTTTCTAATATTTCAGCCATGGTGTCTTTGACTCCAATCTCTATATAGATGTTCTTGGATAGACCAGCATTTGCAAGAGGGCTCAGGAAAAGGCCACTAAGCATTGCAAATTTCTAGGAGTCTCATGAAACTGATTAAACCTCAACTGCCTGGAAAACTGCAGAAAACATCAGAAAGTGAATTTCTTAAATTAAAGTGATAAATAATTATCATGAGACAGAAGACCCAAAGTCAAAAAGAAGAACTTATTCGTTTCTTATAATAAAGATGCATGTGATTAGAACATTATGGAGTGAACATAAAAATCTTAATGGGCATTAGATAAATCACGTTTGTCACTATCGAGGTTGTATTCATATGTCCTCCATGAACATAGTCTCTTGTCATAGGAACCAGGGCACTCAAAATATCATAGCTGTGATTCTCTCTCCTTAAGAATCTGCTGAGTTGGATACTGTCAACATCATCCTCAAAAATGTCTTCTTTTGTGTGCTTAGAAGGATACGAACTATCTTCCATGACTCCTTTTCTGGATTTTCTTAGCTCATCTGACAAATACGTGCAAATACCCTTTTACCTTACGGATCAGAAGGCCTGAGAAGTGGTTTCATGTGAAGGAGAACTTTCCCATCAAGTAACTGGTAATTGCACTCATTTTATAGTTAAAGTCTAGCAAGTAATCTATTTTCTTCATTTATAAGTTGTAGAAGACCACCTGTATATATAGTTCTCAATACCAAGGGTGAGCAAAGAATACAGTGAATGTTTTATATTTTTATCTGCATGAAATACACATTGCCATTAATACCCCTCAAAGTACGCCCCTCACTTCAAACACATCCCATCTTTCTTGTCACTTTCTAAGTAGTTCTAGAAGTCCTCTTCCCTGAGTTATCAAACACATGGTGAAACCTGCTGCCCAGTGCTGTCCCATGGAAACACAGGCTCATAAACACATTAGAGTGTGCCCTCATCTATGCCATTCACTAAGTCTGCTACTGTGTGATTTTCGGCTCTTCCCCAAAGCCAAAGACTATCAAGGTAAACATTTTGAATCTATTCAGGACATCAAGGCAGCCGGTACAGTGCAACATAAAAAAGGCTTCCAGAGCCCCTTCAGAAGGTGTCAAGAATGAGTAGACAAGTGTGTTGAAAGTGACAGGTAGTATTTTTTTTCTTTTTATTGAGTTTATTCGTACAATCTAGGTATACAGTACAGTTACATTAATTACTGGGATCTTATACCTTTACATGACAGGTCTTGGTTCTCATTTTTTCCCCTTGTCCCTGCCCTCCCTTTACCCCCTCCTCCCCTCCCTATTTACAAGCACTGAGAGTATTTTGAAGGAGATTAATGACAATGTGTCTTTTACTGCAATACATTTACAAAATTAAACATGCCACATTTTTTGAAGATACCTTGTACAAACTATCTCTAGCTTTTAGTTTGTTGCCATGTGGAGAAAAACTTATTAGAAACTGACAGATGATAGCCTTAGAAATTTCTTTTTATATTGTGAAATGCAACAGACAGGTGCAAAAATGCTGTTGCTAAATTAACTGTAAAAGGCATATCCATAAAATAATCCAAGCAGAAACTTATTTTTAGCCTACATATGTAATCCTTTTGGATCATTCACCATGTTTTCTGTGATTTAATTGATTTTTAATATTTGATGCATTTTTATCCCAATAACTACACAGTAGTGATCAGCATCAGATGATAAATTTGTTTCTAGAATGTGAGTAATGCTCAAAACATTTTTGTGAAGATCACAGCCCATATCTGAGTGAAAGATCCGAAGATAATGTTAACAACACCAAAGAAATTATCAACTATGAAGCATTCACATGTTACACATTTTGCCCCTTTCTTGAATTTTTCACAGAAGTACTGATTAAATCTGAAGTATTTTTCAAGTAGGCAAACGTTTCAATTATGAAATGTCATCAACTGATTGGAAGTTTATATTTTGACTATTTGTCAATTTAACTTCATTTCTCATGTGGCCCTTATTTTACATCATGACAGCATGTTATTTTCATGAAATAGTCTACCTAATAGAAGGGTTTTGGAAAGAAAGACACCCTTCTGCCTTGTTCTTGGATAAGACATGAATATTCTGACTCTAGAAAGGAACCAAAGTTGGAATAAAAACCATTCTCTGGGTGTAGATAATGGAATGGTTGACTTTGTAATTGTGCCAGTATGGAAGCCCCTGGGGGACAAGGAATGACTTGGTTTGTAGATGCAAGAAGATACCTAAAATTTTTATAAAGAACTATTTCCCCAACTAGTTTACTCTTCCTCTTCTTCACTTCTAGGTGAAGGAAAGATGAATCTTTTCATTTGCCAACTTGCAGTTAATAAAATCTTTTTGTGACTTTTGTGCCCTTAAGTTTGCCCCTTAGTGCTTGTCTTGACCTGATTTTATTTAAAAGCATAAACACTATAGGAAATGTAATAGAAATATACTAAAAACAAAAAACATTTGCTCTGTATCTATTTACCCAATATAGATGAAATGAACAGAAATATAATAAGTTTATAGAAGATACAGTGAGAATATATAAAGTATATAGAAGACCTGAAAATACATAGGAACCCTAAATTTATGAACAATAAGAACAAACTTACAGACATACCATAGTATGTATGGTAGGGAATATACCTTATTTTTAGATGCACTGAGAATATTCACCTTAGGACATACACACACACACACACACACACACACACACACACACATAAGTATATACATATATTTATATATGTATATATAGATAGTTACAGACACACACAATGAAGTATAAAAAAGAAATAATACAAATAGTACTTTCTAATTATAAAACAATAAAATTAAAAATTAATTGTAGGATTTTAAAGGCCCTTTTAGCATGCACATTCTTTTTTTTTTTTTTTGGTACCGGGGATTGAACTCGGGTCCTTGTACTTGCAAGGCAGGCCACCGAACCGCTGAGCTAATTCCCTGGCCCCACATACACATTCTTAATAATTATACTTTATTAAACAATTCTCAGGTTAAATTAAAATTTCAAATTTTTTTCAAAGGAAAAACTAAAATTGTGCAGTAATAATTTGTTTAAACATGGGCTAGAGGTAAGCAGGAGGACTCTACTCTTGAGTTTTAAATTATTAGGCTATGCTAGAGAAGACCAACTATCATAACATGGAAGTAATGCCAAGTGTATTTTTTTCTTTTTCATATGTTTACCTGGGTTTCTCAATGTCTAATAGTTTAATGCTTACACAAAATGTGAACTTAAAAGCAATTCAATATAATCTATATCTCTTTATATATGTCAATAGCAGAAACTTTTGCTACTTATGGAAGAAAAAGTTGCTTTGCTTATGAAAGTCAAATACTTCACTTTTCTTCTTTTTCCTTTTACTTCATTTTCCTTTGTTCTCTATGGATTTTGTTCTCTAAACCAAAAAGACAGAATAGCTATGAAATTGCACAACACTTCTATTTTTAGCTCTGGATTGAGGGTGGGCTTGAGTACAAGGTGGCCAGTGGCTTGTAGTCCAAATCAGTTCTGACTTGTAGTTAAGTGAACCCTGGGAAGGAGTAGGCAGTGACAATGAGTTTATGGTTTCAGTGGAGCCCAATACAGGCCAGGGTCAGGTTCTGTGGTGGACATAGAGAGATTTTGCTCTTTGTTGTCCATTCTCCCTTGGTTATCAGTTTGTGTGGTTCAAATCAAGCGGCCTACAACTTCAAGCTCTAGGAGTAGGTGTGTGACAAACCTGCGGTTCCCAAGTTAGGAACGTGATTATTAGCCACAATACATGGCCTTAGCCAAGACCATGGTAGAGTCAGAAGTTTTGATAGAATATACAGAGACTCTCTAACAACAGAGCTACTCTTCTACACATTCGCTGCATTTTCTGACTCATCACCTTTGAGCAAAATTCTTAAATTGCAGACAGTTTCCACATGAGGCCTGCTTCACCAAGATAGGACATAGAAAATGTGCTTTCCTTATCTCTAGCTGTAGAAAACAGTATGGAACTAGTTGACTTCACCAATCACTGAGCTATGTGAAACTTTTGGAAGTCAACAAGTCAACGAAGGAAGCTGTCGAGGCACTATTTGGTGGGGATAATAACTGAGATGTTTAGCTTTTTGGGGTGGCAGCGTTTTGCATGGTTGAGTTCTTGGCCTTCCGGTTACCGTGGTATCAGCAGCATTTGAGTTCTTAGCAGCAGGACAAACAAAATCCTCAGTGTTGCACAGGAGCAGTGGCACTGTTTTTAGTTTCTTTAGAACATTTTTGTTTGATGCTTGGCTGTAGGCAACATTCTTCTAGACTTTGTAACAGTTAAACTACAAAGCAGTCTTCCAGTAAAATTCTTTTCTGTAATCTTCAGAGTCAGAGGGTATAATTCCAAATAACTCTGTCTATAGTGTTGTAAAACTAGTAGACTAGTACATTTCAGGGGTCCTGACCTGAGGATATCAGCCTAGAAGAAAACTTGGTTGAGAGATAGAGGTTAACGAAAATTTGACAATACTGGACTCAGCCTTGCCTGCAGCTAATCTGACTAAACATGTAATCACTAATTTTTTCACAAGTTATTTGGGGCTTGAGGGAGATATACATTCAAATTTATATATAAATATGTAATATATATTCTATTATTATAACTTTCTTTCATGTACTTATATTTATTCCTACATTTATAATTAGATACTTTATTCAGGCTAACCAATAATTCTGTAGTAAATTTTGTAGCAAAATATATAGAGGCTGCCAGGTATGGTGGCACAAGCCTGTAATCCCAGCACTCAGGAGGCTGAGGCAGGAGGATCGCTGTGAGTTTGAGACCAGCCTGGGCTACACAGTGAGTTCCAGGTCAGTCTCAACTACATAGTGGGACCCTGTCTCAAAAAAAACAAAATATATAGAGGCTTATAATGTTTCTTGGTCACTGAAAGATGTTTCGCTTTTGTCTTTATTTTTAATTTTTATAGAAAATATGAAAGCTGACCTAAAAATGACATAAATGTCCACCCCACATAATTAGAATTCAATGGCACTATGTACCTTTTATGATTAAATAGAACAAGGTTTCTCAAAACAAAGTGAGAATTGAGTTCAACAGTAAATGTTTTCTCAATGAATCTATACACCTTGATCCTGCAAGTCCATGTCTACAAATTTGTGAGAAAATAATTAGTTTCCTGTAGATATTTAACTATAGATAAATGATTTTCTCGTATATGTAAATGACTAAAAATGAAAGGAAATTTAATAATGGTAGTAGATCATAATTATGCAGTGCCAACAAGCTGCCTATGATAAGGTCTTTATCTGAAATCATAAAAAACCCCTATGAAATTGATACTATTATTATTATTTTTCTTATGGGTAAGAAGAGTGAAGCAAAGTGGAGAGAGCATCTTGCCCATAGCCCAGCTTCAGTTATACAAAGCCTGACAGGACCTAATCCTGGAGGTCAGGCCGAGTTACTTCTGCTGAAGTCCACGCATTAGAGGCGAACTGGTAAAGCTGACCATTATTCCAGGGGAAAGCAATTAGACTCCATGGCTTGACAGGAGGTGTACCAAAGAATTTGTGA